ATCTCCCCCTTTTTGATATAACAAAACATTTGAAAATTTGTTTTTGGCAAAAACTCCCCCTTAATAAAATGCTTAATGAAAAAGATACTAGTTGTTGGAAAACATATGAAAATGTTAAGCTCCCCCTTTTTCATTAAGAAATTGAATTTTTTAAAACAACCAAACTTCTCCCCCTTTTTGTTATATCAAAAATAATTCAATCTTTTAAAGTTCTAAAATAACATTGGAGAGTAAGTGGTAAATTTGACATTTAAAAATTTATTTGAAAAATCAAAAACTCCCCCTCAATAAATGCATTCCAAATAAAATTTAGCTTTAAGAACTTGACACTTAAATAAAATTGAATTTCAACAAAGAATAACAAACATGTTAGTAGCACATGAAATTCAATATATCCAAGACTAAAATATTTTATGCAATACCAATTGTTAAAATTTGATATCAATATCAATTGTTAAAATTAAGTGCATTTGCATAAAGTTTTCCAAAAATATTATGCAATTTTAAAAATTTGATACAATTGCTAGAGAGATATCATTTTCATTTAGACCACATGCAGAAACATTCAAATTTAGGCCAAAAATTAAAATTTATAAAATCAAAGTATTTGAAAAATTGATATCAATTGTTAGAGAGATATCAATTGCATTAAAACCAATTTTGACCAAAATTTTATTATGATGAACTAAAAATTCTTAAAAATTAATATAACTTTAAAATGTTCATCATAATCATCTTTTCAACATACATGAGATTAAAACAATGATGCATAATCATTTAAAAACAAAACTCATGCATGCTTAAAATCAAATGAGCAACCAAATAACCAAAATTAAAAGCATTAAGCTTAGAGGTTACCCATTCCTTTTTCATGTGTGGCTAGAGCATCTTGAATATCATCACTCTCATCACCATTGCTCCCACACACCTACAAGAGACATTTAAGTAGATTTTGGTATCCAAATTACTTTGGATCCTTGGACGTTAGTTTCAATGCCCCTTGTTCCTTTCGGAACCCATACTTGCCTAATTTTAAAATGTTTTCCTTTCTTCAAAGGATAAGTATGTTCCAAATGACCATGATAATGACAATGTGAGCATATTGTCATTATTGAACTAAATGAATTATTTAAAATGATTTCTTTTTCTTTTGTTAATCATTCAAGCTTAACTTTTAAATCAAAATTTTATTTTTCAAAACTATCAATTTTTATTTTTGAAAGCTCTAAATCCTTTTTCAAAATTTCATTTTGGCTTTCAAAATCTATTTTTGTTTTCAAAAGAAAATCATTTTCAATTTTAAATTTTGAAATTATTTTCTTATATTTGGAGTTCATGGTCTCAAACTCTGAATATAACCTATTAAAAGCATCTTGTAACTCATCAAACGTATATGAATTAAATTCATTTGAGTTAGAAGATACCTCGGGCTCTTCATAAGCCATTAGAGACACCACCTTTGTTGGTTCTTCTTTCTTGTTTCCATGGATTTCCTCGAGCTTATTCCAAAGCTCCTTGGCACTTGAACATGAAGAAACCCCTTCATAGATTTCAGGACCAAATTACTATTCATAAAAACATTTTTGTGCTCAATTTTAAATTAAAAGAACTTTGAATTATTTTTGTAAATTTTGAATAATTTCAATTAAGTCCAAATACATTTTGTAAATTCAATTCAAGTCCAAATACATTTTGTAAATTCAATTCAAGTCCAAAAACCATTTTGCCTTAAATATTTACATCGAAACATAGTTCAACACTTTACCTTTTGTAGCACGAAACTTAGATGAAACTATCACTAATACTACACAATTTCAATGGGTTCAGGAGGACGTGGATGAACATGTTTATGAGAATTGATATGATATAACAATGTAGTAAGATTTTATATCTTAATTTATAATATTATAACTTATAACATGTTATCCTTCAATATATTCATTAATAGTAATATTTTCACTAGAATTATTGTTTATTTATTGCAGATATCATGCCCATGAGAAAATTAAGTGATTTGCGGATTGTCCGAGCTTCTCAAGAGGAGGAAGAAACAAATAATGAGGAATCGACTGGTGTTGGTTCTTCAGAAGTTCTGATTACTGTTGAAGAAGATGTAGAAATTGAAGGTAATGTTCGAGACTTTCTTTAATTGTTGGTTTATTTTGAAAACTTACATTGAATTATTTCTTATATAGTTGAAAATGATCAAACACGCAAGACTAGAGGACGTAAAACGTTGAAGTAATTATACCAACTTCCTCTTGGGAACCATGTTAAAGTTTCAAGAAACGATGTTGGTCAACCTATTAGCCCATAAGCACGTCTTCTATCCGGTTACTTAGGCATGGATGCACGTAATGCTAATCTTTTACCAATCAATTATGAGTCATGGCATGAAATGCCAAATAGTAACAAAAAAAGGCTTTGGATTTTGTTAAGGTAATAATGTCATTATAATAGATATTCCATAACAGTTCAATAGTAATTTATATTTACTTTGAACAATTATGTTATTTGTAGGAGAAATTTTCATTAGAGGTCTCAGACGATTATTTAAAGCAAGTGTTAGGGAAGAGATGGAGAGACCACAAAAGTTCTTTGAAAAAGAAATAATTCAAGAATGATCTCAGCCTTGAAGAGAAACTGCAAACTGTCCCACCTGCAATGCTCAGGTATCAATGGGAAGATACAGTCAAGTTTTGGAGTTCAAAGAAAGGACATGTATGATCTATTTTTCAAATATAATATAATATCATTATAATATTGACTTTATAAGTACAAATTTAAAATTGTAGGACCGAGAGCAAGTTGGTGTTGCTAGCAGACAACAACAAAAGTTTACTCACACAGTTGGATCAAAGAGCTTTGCTTGTATAGCTAATGATGAGGTATTATTGATTAATCACATAATGATTTACAGTTGGTAGCACATACTAACGAAAATTATTTATATTATTAATTAATTTTTTGCAAGATTTAATTTTTATTCTACATTGTAGGAAAATACATCTGGTTGTAAAGTTGGACGAATAAAGCTCTTCGATATGACACATACAAAAAAGGATGGCACTCCTATGACTGATGAAGCTGCAAAAATTATGGTACATTTATTAGACACAAGATTTGAATTATGTTATATATATATATATAGTATGACATTCTTATTTAAAATAATTATTTAATTAATTATTAGGAAAAATTGAGGGATAAAAGGGCAGAGTATGAAGCTACGACTTCAAGTCATGGTATTGTTAATGCGGATGACATCAAAAATCAAGTTATTAATGAAGTTTTAGGTCCTGAAAGATATGGTTGGGTTCGCTATCAAGGATCATTTGTTAATCCAACCAAACATTTTGGATTCAGTTCATCTCAATACATGTCATCACAGAGTCAATCTTCCCAATTAGAAGTTAGTCGTTTAAAATAACAGTTGGCTGAAATGGATCAAAACGTTGCTCAAATGAAAGTCGAAAATGAAGTGAGGGAAGCAGAGAGAGAAGCAACATATTAGCAAAAATGTGAAGACTTTGGAAATCGACTTCAAGTTATGATGCAGATGATACGAAAAAGTCAACCCCATAGTCCACCATCTTAGGTGTTATTTTAGATATATACTTTGTTTATTCTAGTTAACAATGTTGAACTACATTATATATTTTACGTTAATGTAAACTTTGATATATAATTATGAATTTCAAGTTGGTTGTTATGGATGTCAAGTTTATTGGATAATGCTACAAGTTAAAAATTTAAATTTGGGTAATAAAAGAGCAAAAAACAACATATGGAAAATTAGTGTTAATTAGCGACCTTTGTATAACAAATGCCACTAAATACATATTCAATACCAGCGTTTTAGAAAAAAAAGCCACTAAAGCTATAGATCTTTTGTAGAATTTATACAGAAAATGCCACTATAGTAATAGTCAATAGCGGCGTTTTACATTCACAAACGATCTATAACGCCACAAAAGAAAAGATATTTGATGTTTTGTGGCGTTTCCTAGCATGTAGGGCTGTTATTTGATGTCTAAAACGCAGCACGTGTTGTTATTTTTATATACTTAATTTTTTTATTGTCATTTACATTAATTATTATTATCATCAGTAACATATTTTTTCCCTTTGTGTAATATCTGTAGTAGGAGGCATGTATTTTCGTCGACATTCATATTTATATTTAATTTTTTTGCTTTTAGCATCAAGTTTATTATTATTAACATTTTTCATTTTCACTAAATATCATTTCTCATCTTTATATTGTCATTTAAATATTTATTTTTGTAAAACAAGATTACATGATCATTTGAAGGTATTGATCTTAGGCACTACGAGGTGTTCTAAATTTTCCTACGCATAATCAGCTTTTGAGTTTGATTTTGATTCTAAAATTAGACCGACGCAAATCGATTTTACAAGTATTGATCGTATCTAACTTGATAACGATTACAATCAAGTAATAAACATTTTAAAAATTCAACACATTCGAATCACCGCAAAATTACTTGGACAATCGATGTACTATATATATTTCACCTTGAAATTGATAGAATTCGAAGGTAACGATAATGTATCCCTATTAGGCAACAACGAGGAGAGAGAGAGAGAGAGAGAGAGAGAGAGAGAGAGATTGGGCGATCAAAAAGGGAGGATACTTAGATACTGTATACGCTTCAGCAACGACTCACACATGTATCCTGCATATATATTCGTCGTCTTCCATAGCTTTAACCATGTATCTTTCTGTCACTCTCTTATTTTCCTTTCTCTATTCCAGCTGCTGATGCTTCCATACGTGTGTTGGAGTCTCCACTTGCCTTTTACTTTGTCCAAACCAGTGAATACCCACTTTCCCTCTCTCTATCAACCCACGCTTCCACAGTCTCACTTACAATTGTAGCACAGAATACGTACATTTATACACCTATATGGGACCATAGTCCTTCGCTTAAAAATTCTAACTTTTTCATAAAACACACGATCTGAATCTGCTGCTCCCTCCACCCCTTCCATACTCTTTATCTTTCTCTCCCTTTTGTAGAATCGATTCTCTTCTCTTCCATATGGAGATGGAGAATCACCATCCATATTGCATGCCTGATCTTAGGCAACTGCTCAACGGGAGGCCAAGTCATTTCCAAACAGTTGCACATGATCCTGAGTTATTCTCCTCCGGCAACCGGAATCTTCCGCCCCCACAGCCTCCCCATCACCACCACCACCAGCAGTTTGATATGATGCAAATGGTGGGTAGGCAAGTTGGTCATGAATTGATGCCTAGTGGAATTCATTACGACTTCCAGTCCGATGCTACTCCTAATAATTGTACCCCCACAGCTGCTGTGGCTGTCAATGGTGGTTCCACTCCTAGTGCTAGTTGTGGGTTCGATGGTGAAGCTATTCCCTTTGGAGGTGACGGGGGAACTGGAAGATGGCCTCGTCAAGAGACTTTAACACTTCTCGAGATCAGATCTCGACTTGATCCTAAGTTCAAAGAAGCAAATCAAAAGGGTCCTTTGTGGGATGAAGTTTCCAGGTATTCACTTACCAATAAACATACCCTAAATCTCTTTTCTTTCCTTCCCCCCCCCCCCTCAAAATCCTTTCCTTCCATTCGCAAAAGGTGTCTTTCTTTAGCTTCGTTTTCATTATTCTTACATGATTTCCAACAGAAAGATATATGGTTTTAAATCTTAATTTGTGTTGAGAAAACACAGCTTGTCATTGTGTTCCTTGCTGTTAAACCAAACTTTTGAACCAAATTTATGGTTTTAAGAAAACGATTATGCTGAAACAGGTTCAGTTCAGGAATAGTCAACCAGGTGCTGTTTCTTCTTTTATATAATTGGAAAAAAAGGATGGTTGATCATTTCAATAATCAATAGTCTTCTAACTGACTTGTTTTTCCTTTGAAAATGTGTTACCTTCATCATTGTTCAAAGCTTCTTGTTTAAAAACTTTTTTTGTTATTTGGATATAAGAATGAGTAAGACTTTTGGATGTTTAAGTACACATCTACTAAATCGATACATCTTTTATGCTTCAGTTACCAAATTTGAATTAGGGTTTCCATTTGTAATTTCAACTTATTATCCCAAATTTCCTTCTTTTTCTTGTTACTTTAGGATCATGTGTGAGGATCATGGGTACCAAAGGAGTGGGAAAAAATGTAGGGAGAAATTTGAGAACTTGTATAAATATTACAAGAAGACTAAGGAGGGGAAAGCCGGAAGACAAGATGGTAAGCATTATAGATTCTTTAGACAGCTTGAAGCTTTATATGGAGAAACCAGCAACTCAATTTCAGGCCAAGAAACTCAGTTTGTTGGCAATAATTTTCTGTTCCACGCCACTCAAAACTGCAATATTACTCATGCAAATCAAGATGTCCATCACTCACAAAAGCTTTGCGATAGTCTAAGCCTCTCAAATTCCTTTGAATTCGATCCTTCTTCCTCAGATGACAATGGTTTAAGCCCGGAAGCTGCAATGGAGAATGGTACTTATTCTAGGAAAAAGAAAAGCGGTGGTAGTAGGTGTTGCAAAGCAAAGATAAAAGAGTTCATTGACTCACAAATGAGGAAGCTAATAGAGAGTCAGGAGGCATGGCTTGAGAAGCTGACAATGACTCTGGAAGAAAAAGAGAAAGAAAGGGTTTTAAGGGAGGAACACTGGAGGAGAGAAGAGGCTGCCAGGATTGATAGAGAGCACAAGTTTTGGGCTAAAGAAAGAGCTTGGATTGAAGCCAGAGATTCTGCTTTAATGGAGGCCTTGCAGAACTTTACTGGGAAACAATTGAAGGGTGTTACATCACCTGAGATGGTAATGGCTAGTGAAATGGAAAACCAATGTGAAACGTTAAAGGACACCGTTAAGGTAGATGGATGGCAAGAAACTGAGATTTCTAGGCTAATACAACTGAGAACCACCATGGAAGGGTGCTCTGAGGAGATTCTATGGGAGGAAATTGCAGCTAAGATGGTATGTTTAGGCTTTGAAAAGAGTGCTTTAATGTGCAAAGAAAAATGGGATAGTATCGGTGGTTACTTGATGAAAACTAATAAAAAACGAAAGGAGAACCCAAGAGATCACTGTGGCTATTATCAGAACAACGAGTCACTCTACAGTGAAACACTGAGACTTGGAGCAAATGATGGCTCTTCCCCTTCTAAGGCTGTTGGCAATAGTGTAAATGATCGATGCTTTCCATTCTTAATGGCTGATGGAGAGAACTATTGGGATAGCTATGGTTTGAAGCTCAATAAAGGTGAAAACCAGTAAAACTGAAAGCCCAACATATGATGTATGCAATGGGCGCCGACTATTTTAAGAGGTAAGAGACTCTGACAACTTTTACACTCTTTTAGACATGAGAGGGGATTCTACAATGTATAAGCATCTGATTATGATAATTTTATATGTAGGAAATTGTGTTTAATGTGATTCTCTTAGCAAGTGCACATTTAAGATTAATATTTAACAAAGGGTTTAAATATCTTGAAAAGAGAGGTAAAAGAAAGGCATAATTAATGTTGCTCCAAATCACTGAATATTCTTCATATCTTAAGTACATATTTCTATCATGCATGGAAATTTGATGATTCTTTTAGTGCTTAATTAGTTTTAATTATGCTTTGTTGTTTGAATTACTAAATAAATTGAGGAAATTCTTTCTTATTCAATGTTCAGCGTGCGTGAGAGCATTTTCCCTCACTTGTGCTGAAGTTCATGTATTATTTTCTTTGCAGTACGGTGTATAGGTTAAGGATAATATATATATATATATATATATATCTAAAATCACTATTAACAACAATAATTAAACAATAGTGTTAGGTGAAATTTGTCATTCTTTCCTTCCAAGTTATTTTCTTCACATTCATAGAGTTTGTTTAGTGATCTTGGAAATTCATAGGGAGCAAATTGCAGAGAAAATTGAGCTCCATTGATAAACTTCTAGTTGGCATTCTCGGAGAATAACAAGATTATTTTTAGATTCAATGCAACAAGAAATGTTCGTTTTACAATTACTGTTCCTCGATTGAAAGTTTTATACGTAGCCGGTGTGGAGTTCGATAATATGAAACTATGAAAAGAATAGCAACCTTCCTTTGTTGTCTGTTCGAAAATTTTATGCTATTAACGACAAAACATTAAGAAACAAAATAAAATATAATTACACTACAGAAATCAACAATACCTATACATTCATATCGAAAGAGTCCTTGTAAGAAGTTAATACCAACCGCTGATTGAGAAAAAACATTTGATCGATCAATCAAGCTGTTCATCTTTGTTCCCTCACATTCGTTTAAGTCATGATTTTAAACCTACTAAGAGTACTCTTCTTCTTTTCTCTAGAGTCCCCTTTCTCTCCTGTGGAACTAAAATTAAATGTAGAATTGGTAAAAAGAATATCAGTAGTTGATTAACCCCGTATTTAAAGTATATAATAGACATTTAAACTTTTTGCGGGTCTCCTCTCCCAGATGGCCATAATGTTCCATACTAAGAATGCATATAAAACCTGAGAATAATTCTGGTTTTAACTCCTCTACTATGCAAAAACTAGAAATTTAATCATTCTACTTTAATTTAACGTGATTTGATCCTTTTTTATAATGTTAATAGTAGATTTAAACATATAACAAGGTTAATTGTTAGCATTAAAGTGATGTCACGATGTTTATTGTTTTTCAATCATGATTTAAACCACATTAAATCTTACCTCTTATGCATATCTTATTACATGTTGATATAACTTTGTTTTTTTTTTCTGCTTACAATTTTCTAACAAGTTTAAACATAATAATGACATTATAAATGTAGAGTTATCAAATTATGTCAAATTGAAGTAGAAGGATTAAATCTCATATTTCAACATAGTAGATGGAGTAAAGTCAGAATTAGACCTAAAATCTTGCATTATATAAATGTGTATGCGTGTGTGTGAAGCTGCAATTGAATGTTGGAAGCAACTGCATTGGGTGTACTGACATGGATGGATATGAAATGCTTAATAAAGAGAAGTAAGAGAGAGATGGATTGGCGGTGCTTTTCCAATTTCTTGTAGGAATTAAATCTTTCAGTTTCATGTACGTATAGACACTCCATTTATGATCTCCCATACTTGCGTCAACTAGTGCTCCTTTTCTTTCCTTCTTTTTTCCCTTTCCATGCAGGGTCTGTCCGTACATAGGAAACAGTAAAGAAGCTTCCCACACCTGAAAAGGAGACCAAACAAAGGGAGAAACAATATTGCAGTCATTTTCACTGCAATAAAAGAAAAAGAAAAAGAAGAAACGTTTCATTTTTTTGCCTATTTTGTGAATCCTTAAACATGAAAGTAGAGATTTTGTCGTGTTTGAAGAAGCATTGTTTTGCATTTAAGTTGGAGATAAAAAAAAATGGCGACTCAGCGAATCAACCGAGAGCTGATTGTAGGGGTTGTTAGTAATGCAAATACAAGGTTATTTTTAGAGAGTTGGTTACTCCTTTTTTTTTTAATCGGAGTAAATGCAAATTGATAATTTTACCCCTCTACCACTCCTATAAAAGAGATAGTCCCTCTTCCTAATTACTTATAAGACAGTGACTTCCATATCACGACACAATAAATCATTCTATCTCATTCTTTATTTGATTATTATGTTATAACGAAATTGTTTTGCAGCAATATGGTTTTCCAACAGGGGCACCTGCTTCTCACTAATTGTTTTTAATGTACATGATAATCTACATTATCAAAGGTTAATGCCGGAGCCGTTTCAAACATTTTTAGGGTCTTAAGTGAAAACTCAAAAATAAATCCTATAGAAGAAAATATATTTCATTACTATGAACAATTAATTTAATATTTTATTAATAAATCATAAAAAATAATTAAACTTTGTCAAGCACATCATTAATGACTAAGGAATAAGGCCCGAGATGTAAAGATTAAAACAATTAGGCCCTAATTATAAAAATTAAAAGAAGGGGACCCTAATTGTAAAAAATATAGGAGCGGAACCCTAAGCAGTTGCTCAGGGTGCCCCTGCCAAGAGCCGGCTTTGGTTGCGACTCATCTTTGACAACTATGGAGTGGTTGTCGATTTGTTCATCCCAAACAAGAGAAGTAGCGGAGGAAGCAAGTTCGGATTTGTACGTTTCACATGAATGGAAGATGCGAGAAAAGCTATTTTACATCTTGATGGCTCTAGAATCCATTGCAACATAGTTCGAGTCTACATGGCAAAGTTTCAAACAAGAAATGCATTCTGGAGAAAAAATCTAATGTCTTTCAACCACTTGAAGCTAAGCGTATGGAGGGCGATAAATTTAATCCGGTACTTCTATTGAAGGCTCCATTGATGAGGAAAAGCTACTGATTCTTAAAGACAGTCTGACAGGATGCTGTAAGGTTTTCATGAAGAATAAATACCTTGCAAAAAGGATGCACATGGATGGTATTCAGGAGCCAAAAATCATAAGGTTAAGTGTGTTAGCGGTTTTAATCATTTTTGAAGATGAATTGAGTAGGGATAAAGTTTTAAAAAATAGGATATGCTCTCTGGAAAAGTGGTTCGAAAAGGTGGTAGTGTGGTAAGAAGAGACTGAGTGTCGTAGTCGTCGTGCATAGCTTTCTTGTAACGGTATCCCGGCTTTTGCATGGAGCCAAAAGACATTCCAAAATATAGCAGGAAAATGGGGCGAACTTATCTCTATTGATGAGAGGACCTTGTTCCTAGGTTCATTTGTCAAGGCTTTAATTCAAATTACTACAGATTGTCAATCCATGGTGGAAGAAAGCTTTGATATAAAGGTGGGAGAGAGATTGTTTAAAGTGAGTGTGTTTGAATTTGAGCTATATTTTAACCCTGTATCCACTTGGGAGGAGTCTTATCTATCAGGGGTACTCTAGAAGCTTCATCACCTATTGTCTACGAACCAAATACTTTGGAATCTCCTTCTAACGGTACTAAATTCTTACTCTGCGAGGATGAGGTTTACCCCTTGTGTCAGCGAGAGGAGGAGTGTCATGGCATCGTGAAAGATGTGGTAGATGAAAGGGTAGCCATAGACTCTAACACCAATCCCTACAAGTCCGAGGAGCCTCAGCTGGAGTTTAAGTGTCTAGACTCATCGCCATACATAGCTTGGAATTGAAAATTTTGGTGATTGCCTAGGCTTTATTGTTGAGTTAGGTGGGCCTCCTTGCTTGGACGTCGCTCTATGAAATATTAATACTACGTCTAATAGCAATAAAGTGGGAAATGGCGTGTTAGCTGAATGTGTGGATAAATGAGATGTAAATAACTTTTTGCATGGAGATTGCAATACTCGTTGAATATGTGCAGCTGAATGTGTGGAAGCAAACAAGGCAGGTGTTAATGCTAAAATTGGTGGGGCCCAATGGTTTATTTCTATCCCAAACAACAATATTATGGGTAAGGAAGTAGCTGTCATGTACTATTGTGGGACTAGGTCTTTGAAGGGGATATCGACCATGGAGGCTGCGATGGAGATTAATAATCCAATGATTTTGAAGGAATCAACAGCTGATCAAGTTGCGGGTGAAATATTATTTAGTTCGTGGAATATGAAAGCTTTAGAAGATGTCAATAATATGTGGTTGAGGCAAATGAAGATTGCCACCGATCAGAATATCTCTTCTTCTATCGATAGGATTGTAACCAAGGTAATTCTATATATATATATATCAATGATAGAAATTTAGAATAACGTAACCAAACGAAAAAAAATAAAGCACTTAAGAAAAAAGAAATAAGGATCGGAATGTTCTGTCTGATTCAGATCTCAATAATTATAGAAGGATAATCCTTAAGGAAGCTTAACGAGCGTGAGCATTTGCAAAGAAACTTGATTTTGAAATTGAAGGTGATGAACGAGAAGTTATTGCGGAATTCGCAAGGCTAGATGGATATTAGATTATGAGGGTTTTTTTTTTTTTTTTTTTAATTTGGTTCTAAGGAGTTTCCATGAAGTTTTGAGGGTATGGAGGTTCATTAGGTGGAGAGTTAGTGGGCAAGTTTTGTTCTATTTTGGTTACATACTTATGATAGTGAAGAGTTAGTCATGGTTTGCTTGGTAGAAACAGAGTAGTTAGTTTTGGTTCATGTTGATATGTTTGCTGCCGCGACAAAGGCATCATCTAATGCTTCTTAGCGTCAAATTGAGTCTAAAAATGCTTACTGGAGCCAGTGTTGAGGAGGTAGACTTTGCTAACTATGAAGAGTGAGATGTAAACATCAGACGTAAGCACTATCTTTGTAAATTAGGCTCTGTCTCTCTAAAGGATAATACTCAAATCTCTCGTTTCTGTTCGAGAGTGCTTTACTTGTGATGATTTTTTAACCTATTTTGATATAAAAAAAAATTAAGGGTAAAATGATTTTTGGACTCAATTGAATTTATTTGAAGTTTTCAAAAATAATTCAAAGTTTGCAAAACTCGAAATTGAACACAAAACAATTTTCTGGGTAAGTAATACCAATATTGTTCTTACAGTATCGTATTGCATGAATAATACCAATATTGTTCTT